CGAGGACCAGGCCGCTCAGGAAGCTCCGTGTAGCACAACTGCTGGACCCAAGAGGGCTAAGCACAGAGGACTTCCTGGAGGAAGTGTGGCTAAGACAGTTTATCAGCTCCAGTTTATCAGCTCACTTGCCCTGCCTCCTGGCCCGGTTGCCAAAGCGCTGTGACCCCTGGCAGTGGCAGCACACGGCCGAGAGCAAGGCTAGGATGGGCAGGATGTTGGCCTGGCAGCGAGCGCCAGTGGTGGTTACGGCTGGTCTGCCTGGGTCCTCTGTCGGGGGTCCCAGCGGTGGCCGGGCAGCACAGCGCTGCTGTTTGTTTGGGGATGTGGGGGAGGGAGTCACGTGGTCACTCGTCCCTCCCCGCGGAACCTGATCTGGGCGTGCTGTGGGCAGCCGCTGGGAGTGGACAGGTCTGGGGGTGTCTGAGCAGGACCCCAGCCCAGGCAGCCCGGATGACTTGTCCCCCTCCTGAGAGCAAGGACTTGGCAGCCCACTACCCCCTCCCCGCCCCCTGACCCATGACCTCCAAGTGCCCAGTACCTGGTGGGAGCTGGGAGCTGTCAGTTGGTAACTGGGGGTGGGGGGTGGGGACTTCCTGTTCAGACCAGGGTGGGGGGTCCTTGCAGTGCTGACCCCCCAGCAGGCAAGAACGGGGCCAGGAGAGGGCCTGCACGGTCAGGAGGCCAGGCCGGCGGCGAGGGCCAGAAACCTGGGGTGGCCTGTGGCAACACTTGGCTCAGGAGTGGAGGGACTTGGGCTCCGGCCCGGCCCCTGTCGCTCAGACGGGGGTGGGAGGAGCAAGAGACCTGGCCCAACCGGAGGTGCTCGGGGCTGCCCTGGCTCCAGGGATGGGCGGGGGGACTCCTGGGGGCTGGGGGGCTCCAGCATGGGGTTCCCGCGTACAGAGCACGTGCCCTGGCCCACCGCCCTGTCTCCCCAGTCCCACGTCACAAGACTTCCGCTTGGGCCGGTTCTTTCCCTGCCTACACCGCGGGGTAAGTTGTGCCTTAGGGTTAAATGAGAGAGTCTTGGGGCTGGAGCGATTGCACAGCGGGGAGGGTGTTTGCCTTGCACGCGGCTGACCCGGGTTTGATTCCCAGCATCCCATAGGGTCCCCTGAGCACCGCCAGGAGTAATTCCTGAGTGCATGAGCCAGGAGGAACCTCTGTGCATCGCCGGGTGCCGGGTGTGACCCAAAAAGCAAAAAAATAAAAATGAGATAGTCTTGGGCCAGAGAAGCAACTCACTGGGCTGAGTGCTCACTTTGCATGTGGGAGTCCTGGGCTCAATCCCCAACACCGCATGGTCTCCTGAGCACCACCAAGAGGGGCACTGAGCCAAGAGTGGATCCCTGAGCACTGAGCTACATTAAAAAAAGAAAAAGAAGAACTGAATGAGCCTGTTTGATGGCAGCAGGGAGCACCGGTGGTGAATCTCTTGCTGTATTTCTTCCGGGTTGGGCCTGCGCCAAAGCAGGTTCTGCGTGTTTTGTGAGTCCAGTAACGGGGCCTGGCTCACACCCTGGGTTCACCTCTGTCTCTTTGGGTACTTCTCTGAGTCTCATTTTTTTTTTTTGTTTTGCTTTTTGGGTCACACCCGGCGATGCACAGGGGTTCTTCCTGCCTCATGCACTCAGGACTTACTCCCGGCAGTGCTCAGGGGATGATATGGGATGCTGGGAATCAAACCCGGGTCGGCCGTGTGCAAGGCAAACGCCCTACCCGCTGTGCTATCGCTCCAGTCCCCTGAGTTTCGGTTTTCTCTTCTGTGAAAGGGGATGACGTCCCTGCCATCCTCCAGGGAGGGAGGCAATAAGACAATCCGCTTAGATAATCCGGCACCTGGTCCCTAATAACGCGATGAGCCTCCCCTCCCCCTGCCTCCAGCTCCCCGCCTGCCTGGCAGCACCCTAGGGAGGCCTCTGGGGTGTGGTGTTGTCTCGGCTTCCCCCTGGTGAGCGCCCTCTGGGTCACAGCGCGGACCCCCGAAGCCCATCTGCTGCACGGGTGGGTGTCAGAGCAGCCTCCACAGATGTGACAGTCTTGCTTCCCGAGTCCCCTTGGCATCTGGCTTCTTCCTAGGGCCACCACCTGGGCCTCCCCGAAGCACCATCCTGGACACTGCCCTCTGCCCACTGGGCGGCCAGCTCCACCCTCGTCCCGGGCAGCCTCGGGAACTTTGCTGCAGTGTGACCTCAGCTGTGGCTCACACGAAGGCCAGTGAGACTCCGAGGTGACCAGCCTCATCCCGGTCCCCTGACACACACACGTCCCCGCACGCTGGGCCTGGGCATGGCCGCCCACGGGCTTTGCAGCTCCCCTGCCGGTCCCGCGCTGCCTTCCCTGATACCAGCTGACCTCCCGGCTCTGGGCCTCGGTGGACTGTGGGGGTCCGCACTGCCGCTGGTGGCGATCTGGCAAGAGCCGGTGAGGTGTCGAGGTCGTGGACAGCCCACACTTTTAGCTTATCTCCACATTCTGGTTTTTGAGGGGTTAGTTAGAAGTTACACCCAGAGGTACTCAGGGGCTACTCCTGCACAGTGCTCATTCCCGGAAGGGCCCTGGGGCTTGTGTGGGCACAGCAGGTGCTCCAGCCCCCCGGGCCCGTGTCCTTGATCTTGGGGTGGGCAGGCCTCGGCGCTGGAGTGGGCAGAGGGCTCCTTGCAGGGGCTTATCTGGCAGCCTCTGTGTGTGTGTGGCACCAGCTGAGCTCGGCCAGGGGTTGGCGGTGTCTGGGGGCCGGCGGTGTCTGGGGGGTCAGCTATGCCCACGGGCTGGCGGTGTCTACGGGTCGGCATTATCTTGCGGTTGGTGGTGTCCTGGGTCCGAGGCGCTGCCCTTCCCGCTGGCAAGACTCCCACCAGTGGGCAAGTGAAACCACGCCCGCCACCAGCTGTCTGGGGGCTGTGTCCAGCTCTGATTGCAAGGCACGGCCCCGGGAAGGGAAGGATAAGAGAACCAGTTCAGACTGGCACAGTCACCCCTTGGATGTCACATGGCTGGCGGCCACTTCCCTGGTCTGGAGGTTCCAGGAGCCAAGGTGGCACTGCCTAGCCCACCGGGTGGGCTCTGAGCTGGTCTCATCAGCTGGCTCTAGCTTGGATGTCCGTGTAGCTGGGAACTGTGCCGGTTGGGGGTGGCTCAGTCTGCCGCCCTTCCCCCGCAGAAGGCTGCTCACGTGGGGGTGCCTGGGATATCCCAGGACTTGCAGCCCCCCCCCCACCAACCCTCTTTCCTCCCCACCACCCAAGTTCCCAGAAGGCTTCCCATCCTGGTGGAATTTTCTGGATCTTCTCTAGCTGGGGACACATCTCCTGATGGCAGTGTCTCTCCCGCGGTCCCCAGACCTGGTTTTGGGGGACACTCACCTCGCACGTGTGTAGCCCCCCGAGTTCAGTCCTGGCACTGCGAGCTCCCCCAGCATCCCCGGGAGGGATCCCTGAGCACCAAGTCAGGAGTAACCCCTGAGCACTTCTGAATGTGGCCCTCCGCAAACAAAGCAAGAGGACCAGAGAGAGACCTTGCTCCACCCTTGGCCGACCCAGGTCCGATCCCCGGCATCCCATATGGTCCCCCAAGCACCGCCAGGAGTGATTCCTGAGTGCAGAGTCAGGAGTATCCCCTGAGCATCATGGGGTGTGGCCCAACACCCCACCAAAAAAAGAGAAGGAGAAAGAGCGAGTGACACCCCTGGCCGACAGGCAGCAGCTGGCCCCCTGAGCGGCGGTTAACTGTTGCCCCTCTCTTGTGAAATCGTCACTCTTGTTCTTGGGAGAGTCACTGGGTTTGTGTCCTGGTAGAGCAGAAAGAAGCAATTGTAGGGGCTGGAGCAATAGCACAGCAGGGAGGGCTTCCGCCTGGCACGCGGCCAACCCAGGTTCAGTCCCCGGCATCCCATAGGGTCCCCCGAGCACCGCCAGGAGTCATTCCTGAGTGCATGAGCCAGGAGTAACTCCTGAGCATCGCTGGGTATGACCCAAAAAAGGAAAAAAATTTCTGGGTTCCTGGATCCCAGTGTTGCCGTGGGTCCAGCACAAAGCTCATGGTTGCAAGAACGCCAGAGTCTAGAGTCCCAGGTCTAGAGTCCCAGGTCTCCAGAAAGTTCTGGGTTTCCCCGTCCGATAAGCTCTGCGTGAGAAGCTCCAGAATGGAGCCCCGTTTCCGGGGTGCCTCCGGCTGCCCTCCCTGGGAAGGCTGGGTTTTGTTCAGGGATTAGGCCGAGTGCAGGGTACAGGTTGGTGGCCCCTGGGAACACGACAGGCCTTGTTTGAGCTCACAGGCTTCAGAATAGCGCTCAGATTCGAATCCTGGTCCTGTCACTGCCCTGCCTTGGTTAAGAACGGGGCACTGGGCTGGGTCACCACTGCGCCACTTATATGTTGTGTGACTTTGTTTTTGTTTTGTGTTTTGAGGGAGGGAGGGGGCCACACAGGCAGTGCTCAGGGGTTACTTCTGGCTCAGCATCCAGGAATTACTCCTGGAGGTGGTCAGAGGAGCCTGTGGGGTGTTGGGGATTGGACGCAGGTCAGCCGCATGCAAGGCAATCACCCTGCCTGCTGTGCTGTCGCTCTAGCCTTCTGTGTGACTTTGGGTGCATTAGTGACCCTCTCTGTTTCTTTTTTTTTCTTTTTTTTTTTTTTGCTTTTTGGGTCACACCCGGCGATACACAGGGGTTACTCCTGGCTCTGCACTCAGGAGTTACTCCTGGCGGTGCTCAGGGGACCATATGGGATGCTGGGAATCGAACCTGGGTCGGCCGCGTGCAAGGCAAACGCCCTACCCGCTGTGCTATCTCCTCCAGCCCCTTAGTGACCCTCTCTGAACTGGCCACAGTCTCAGCCAGATGACCGGACCCACCTCAGAGAGGGCTGACCATGATGGCGTGTGTGAAGAGTGCAGAAGCATACATGGTGACCCCCACCGTGCCACCCTGGGGGGCTCTCATTCACTCATTCCTTCATTCATTCAGTCTCTCATGTGGGTTTATTCTCTTCCCACTGCAGGTGGAACTGCATGTCCACCTGGACGGCGCCATCAAGCCCGAGACCATTTTGTACTATGGCAAGTAAGTTCTGTTCTCCCCTGAGCGGGCGCAGCCTACTATCCTCCCCAGGGCGGCGGCTCCTTCCCGGGTCCCTGAGGGGTCAGGCCAGGCCCTGGGCAGTGGCATGGAGGCCTTGAATCTCAGCTCTCCACTGCACACCCACAGCCTGGACTTCTTGTCCCGGGGTGCCAGGGAGGGTGGTGGAACATCCCTCGGTGCCAAGGCGGGGGGACACAGGGACATGGGCATGACCAACGGCACAGCGGCCATTGGGGTGGACCTGGTCACTGTTGTCTGACTTGGCAGGTGCCACACCCATCACTGCTGGCCCTGTTTGCTGGCGGGGGGGAGAGACACCCTCACTTTGAGGGTGAGCTGAGCCCCTGCATGTGGAGTCAGGGCTGGGGTTAGGGTAGGGTGGGAGGGTCCTGTCCAGGGCGCTCGAGGTCACACAAGTAGCGAACAGGAGGAGGAACACAGCAGGGGTGCGGGACGCCCAGACTGTCCCTCTGCTCACGCATGGGTGCTGCCGGGCCGAGCCGAGGCCCCTACGGGCAGCGCCAGTCCCACGGGGACGGGGGTGGGGGGGTGACCCTGGGGCCAGCGCCTCCGGATTCAAACCCCCATGCTGTTCCCTCGCTGTGAGCTGGACGCCCGATCGCTGAGCATGAGAACGGGGCGTCCTTGGGACCCCAACACGCTCCCGTCATCGGCAGGAAGGGCGCGCCGCTCCTTGCCTGATTTTTCCCCCCCTGCATCTCATGAAGTAACACAAGACTGCAGCCCCGGTCTTGGGGAGCCCCTGGCAAGAGCTCCGAGTCCTTCTGTTCACGGGCAGCCGCGCTTGTCCTTGCTGTAGGGCCGGGGTGTGTCTCCCTCGCAGCCCCGTGGCTAGAGGATTCGGCCCAGAGACGCAGGGCGGGACGTCGGGAGCGGGGAATGACTGGGCGGCTCCTCGGCACAGTGCTCGCTTATCTCTGCCGTCCTTTGCCCGTGGAGGAGCCGCCAGCCATTACCGCGGCCCTAATGAGGCTAATGAGGCCCTAATGGGGCTGTCAGGGCCGGTTATGGGGGGGCCCGCGGGGGATCTAATCTGGGGCCCTCATCAGGGGGTCAGAGATCACTCATTAGTGGAGCGCGGCCAGGGCGGGGTGGGGAGAAAGGGAAAGGAGCTCCCAGCGGGCCCGTTTTCCATTTCCACGTCGCCTCCGAGTCTGGGGAGTGATTGGGGCGCCCCGGGGGGCCGCGGAGGTGGGTGCGGGTGCAGGTGGAGTTTGACCCCGGGGCAGGGAGCAGGGGAGAGGGAGCGTGTGGCAGGGACCCACGCCCCGCGGGTGGGGCCCCCCCGGAGGACCTCCCTGGTCACCGTCTCGCTCCCCCCGTCAGCCCGGACACTCCACCCTCTGGGGGCACCTCCGCTCTGCAGCCTCCTGCGTGGCCCCTTCCGGTCCCTCTCCAGAGTCTGACTGGACGCTCTCCCCTCACTGGCCTGAGCCACCAGCGCCCATCCCCTGCAGGGCCACCTGTCGGGTCGCCGGCTGTGCCCAGAGCAGAGGCACCGCTGACCGCCTGACCGGTCCCTGGATGCTTCTCCACCATGCTGAGCCCGGTCAGCACAGAGAGGGTGGGCCACTGGCCCTGGGTCACACAGTACATACAGGTGGGGATTCAGACCTCAGCGGTCTGGCACCGGGGTCTGCTCTGAGCCAAGATAAACAGCTCCCAGGTCCCCTGGGGACTCTACCAGAGAGACGTGTGTCACTGATGAGGACACAGCAGCATCAAAGGGACCGCTCCGCAGGGTGATAAGGCTGGCAGCGGGGTTGCAGACTCTGATCTCCAAAGTCCCCACTCACCAGCTGCCACCACGCCACGAGGAAGAGGCTGGGCAGCGCTGGGCACAGCTGTGGCAGAGGGACCGATGGGCTGGCGGGAGACTGAGCTTGGCCCAAGGGGCTGAGGGTGTCCAAGGGAGGCGGAGGCCCCGAGCCACAGGCCCTGCTGTGGGTCCCACGGGAGCTCGTCTGGGGGGTGAGGGGGTGAGGCTGCTCTTTTTTTTCCTTTTTGGGTCACACCAGCAGTGCTCAGGGGCTACTCCTGGCTCTGCACTTAGGAATTACTCCTGACGGTGCTCAGGGGACCGTATGGGATGCCGGGGACTCGAACCCGGGTCGGCCGCGTGCAAGGCAAATGCCCTCCCCGCTGTGCCATCGCTCCGGCCCCAAGGGGGTTGCTCTTTCTTCCCTCTCTGCCCCCCACTCTCTCGGGGCTCCCTGCTGCTTTGCAGAGAAGCCCCCAACTCCTGGGGACCCCCTTTGGGCCGTGCCCCCCACACCCTCCTCCTGCCCCCTCCCCCCGTCCATCCTCTGCCCAACTGGCACCTCCGAGAGGCGGCAAGAGGGAAGCTGGGGGCAGGAATGCGGGGCGGAGGTGGCTGGTGGGCAGGGAGCGGGAATTCATCCGTCTGTCCGTCCGTCTGGCCGCAGGAGGCCTCTGACTTGAACAGGAGAGTGCAGGGCACTCGTGTGGCACCAGGAGGGGGCTTGAGGTGGCCGGATGAGGGTCTGACTTGGTGGCCGCTGCTGTCCAGCACCCGGCCAGCTCCCTGGGAGTGGGGGGGGGGTTGCCCAGAGAAGGGGAACCAGAAGCTCCACCCGGGTCCTGGGCTGGACATGTGGCCGGAGGTGAGCTCACCCGGGCAGGAAGTGGTAGGGGTGAGTTGGGGCCTGGAGGGGAGAACCGCACCTGCCAGCACCCCGTTGGCATCCCGGAAGCCGTGCAGTGCCGCGACCGCCCACCCACTGCACTCCCCGCAGGCTCAAAGCCAGTTCCAGCTGGAATCGTCGCTGCAGGGGGGTGTGGAGGGCGGCACTGACCCTGGGAGCCAGGACCACCCTACCCAGGCGCCCCCCTCACACAGCGCAGATACCAGAGCAGGCAGCACCGAGGGGGGCCCTTGTGGTACCTGTGGACGCTGCTGAGTGGTCCTGGGGCCTGTGCTGGGGGAACTGTGTTCGACAGAGCAGCTGCTGAAGAGCCCCTGCACTGCGGGGTCAGACCCCCGCTGGCCGGCTCCCTCCTCTGCCCAGCCCTGCTCCGGGCGTGGACAGTCAGGGCTGGCACCAGCCCGGCTGCTGTCCTGTTCATCGCAGGGTGCTGCTTGCGGGACATCCTCTCACTCGTCCCCACGGCTGTCCTCCCTGCTGGTCCTCCCTGTGGCCACCCTCCCGACCCTCCTCCTCTCCTGGTGACCCTCCTGTCAGGTTCTTCTTGGCTTTGCACCTCAGAGCTCTCCCTGCTCATCTCCGGCCCTTTCTGGTGGAAGTCCTTCGAGAACGTCTGGTTTCCCTTGCCTGCCCTTTCCTCAAAAATGGGTGAGGGGCTGGAGCGATAGCACAGCAGGGAGGGCGTTTGCCTTGCACAAGGCTGACCCGGGTTCAAGTCCCAGCATCCCATACGGTCCCCCCGAGCACCGCCAGGAGTAATTCCTGAGTGCAGAGTCAGGAGTGACCCCTGAGCATCGCTGGGTGTGACCCCCAAAAAGGAAAATAAATAAATGAAATTTAAAAAAGTAAAGTAAAGTAAAGGCCCTGCCGTTGATCATCGATTTGCTCGAGCGGGCCCAGTAACGTCTCCATTGGAGACTTTGTTGTTACTGTGTCTGGCATATCGAATACTCTCGGTAGCTTGCTGGGCTCTCCGAGAGGGGCGGAGGAATCGAACTCGGGTCGGCCATGTTGGCCGCTTGTAAGGCGAACGCCCTACCCGCTGTGCTATCGCTCCAGCCCGAAATTTAAAAAAAAAAATTTTAAATGATGGGTTGCAGCGATAGCACAGCACAGGTAGGGCATTTGCCTTGCACGCGGCTGACCCGGGTTCAAGTCCCAGCATCCCATAGGGTCCCCCGAGCACCGCCAGGAGTCAACTCCTGAGTGCAGAGCCAGGAGTAGCCCCTATGCAATGCCGGGTGTGACCCAAAAAAGAAAAATAATAAAGGGAGGGTGAACTGAGGTGGGGGGGAATGAGCGTGAGTCGGGGCTGCCCCTGGCAGGGCAACAGGAGCTGGAGGAGAAGCAGGGCTGCGGCTGCCCCAGAGCCACTACAGTCTGGGCTGCCCTGGCCCCCGGGCACTGCCACAGCAATGACTGTCCTGCAGCGCCCCAGGACCCCGACAGCTGACCGGGGGCCAGCGAGCCCCACCCGCTCCTAGGATAGGAGCAAGTGACTAGCTGGCACCTTCTGGGGTGGGGGTGGGGGGAAGGTGGGTGTTTGAGGGAGCAAGCAAATATCCCACTGCCCCACCCCCAGCCCCTGAGACCCACTGGGGTCGGAGTGCTGGAAGATCCACCTGGTTCTGGCTGGGAGACCATCCCCCTCCCAGGCCCTGGTTTCAGGGAGTCCCAGCTGGAGGCTGGGGCTGCAGGGACCGCCCGTCACCCACCTTCCGCTCTGTCCTCCAGGAAGAGGGGCATCCCCCTTCCCGCTGACACCGTCGATGGGCTGAAGGCTGCCATCGGCATGGACCACCCGCTCAGCCTCCCGGGCTTCCTGCAGAAATTCGACCTCTACATGCCCGCCATCGCGTGAGTGCCCCGCAGGGTGGGGACCCTCCTGCCAACCCGCGTCCCTCTGGGCTGGGCTGGGGCGCCCTACTAGAAGCACAGAGGGTGGAGTGAGCTCCTTCCACCACCAGGGGGCGGTATGGATGGCCAGGTTCGGCGGGGCAGACCACGTCCTCGTCCTCGGTGTCCCCTCTCTTGGTCTCACTGCCCGCAACGGCGCTTCCGCCCCCCCCCCCCCACGTGCCTGCACCGTCTCTGCCCACTGGGCTGTGCTCTCAGGACGCTCTGGGGTCCTCCTGGGCAGCACGCAGCCAGCCGAGGCCCAGGGCACGAAGAAGCTTGTGCGGGGCCGTGCAGCGGGCCAGGGGCAGCGCAGGGTCACGCCCTGTGTCCCCTCCGGGTTCCTGGTGCACTGGCACGCCAGCGGCAGCTCACAGCGGTTGGTGCTGCAGACACTCACAGAAGGGAGGAGGCAATCCAGGGAGGCTGCCTGGAGGACATGTCCGTGGGTGCTGGATTGCTGGAGGAGCAGTGATGGGCTGGGGGGGGGGGGGTGGCAAGTGGGTAAATGGACTCGGGAGGGGCCAGGTTCTGGGAAGACGGGCACAACACTGCTGGGTCCTTGCCGGAAGTTCCAGTGCTGGGCCTGAGAGTCCGCTGGCCTGTCCGTGCCCAAGTGAGGGTGCCCCGGGACCCCGTGCCCCTCCCAGAGCCGCTGCAGTGTGGGCAGCCCCAGCCCACGGGCCCAGGTGCCTCGCCCACACCCCAAGGTGGCTTCCTGCTTCCTGCCTGTTGGAGGGGCCTGGTCTCCCTCAGGGCTGCCCACGCTGGCCGCCACTCAGGGTCACAGGGGCGCCACCTCCCCCCTTACCCCCTCTGGCCACTGGTGCTCCCCCAGGTCTCCCCTGGCACCTTAGACAACGTGCTCCCACCTCGGGGTGCAGTTCCCTCTCCACTGCCACAGTTCCCCGCAGCCCCACACCGCCCTCTGGTGGTGGAAGGAGCTCACTACTTCGCTCCCCACCTCGCTCCCCACCCTGCTCCTCACCTCCTGGTTCTGCCCCGCTACAGGGGCTGGAGACATCCGGGGGCAAATGCCACGTTTCGGTGCGCGGATACACCGCAAAGCCATCAGGCTAGTGAATGCAGAGCCTCTCGCCTGGGTTCCAGAGAGTGTGTGTGCATGTGTGCGTGTGCACGTGTGCGTGCGTGTGTGTGCATGTGAGTTTGCGTGTGTGTGCATGTGTGCACATGTGAGTGCGTGCACGTGCCGTGTGTGCATGTGTTCGTGTGTGTGCATGTGAGTTTGCGTGTGTGCAGAACAGGAGGCGTACAGATACAGCAGTCAGAGTGCCAGAACTCTCCTGGCCTCACTGAGACCCCGTCACCCTGCGGCCCGGCCCCCCAGCTGCCTTGGAGGGTCCATGTGACCTGGCCGGCTGATTCCACGCCATGCTCCGGCGCCCATGTGCCGCCCTGCTGTGGCCCGCGGCAGGGCCCTCTACCTCCGTGTCCCGGTCCCCTGAACTGTGCCGGCTGAGGTGCCGGCTGTGTGAGGCTCTGTGAGCAGGGAGAGAGAGCCCCTCTCTCCGGAGTGTTGGTTTTGCTTGTTTCATCAGCTGCCCGGAGGCAGAGAGGCTGGATCCCCGGCCCAGCGGTGTTTCAACTCTCATTTATTCACTTGCTTTGGTCTGGGCCGTACCTGGCAGTACCGCGGGAGTAGACGTGTGGACGGGGCTCCGGAGCCCGTGTTTCAGCCCATGGAGCCGCTTCTCTGGTCCTATTCTGACTCTGGAGGCATTTTCATACTCCCCCCGCCCCTGCCCTGAGAAGCAGGACCACCTCCCCGGCGGAGCACTGCACTTGATTGTGGTGTGGTGTGGGGCACTCACACAGCCACCCCGGGGACCCCAAAGGCCTGGGGGAGGTGGGGCGTGGAGCAAGAGCAAAGCGGGGAGGGCGCTTACCTTGCACATGCCTGACCTGGGTTCGATTCCTGACACCCCATATGGCCCCTTAAGTCCGGCCAGGAATGTTCTCTAAGTGCAGGGCCAGGAGTAAGTCCTGAGCACCTCTGGGTGTGGCCCAAAACCAGAAAAAGAAAAAAAAATTTTTTAAAAGCCAGAAGCACATGGGCAGTGCCGAGTGTCCAGCCGATCACCAGCCTTGGAGTCACCTCCAGGCCTTTTCATGACATATCACCCCTGTCGGTCTTTGTCGGAGCTGCCACTATGCCCTGGGCTCTGTCCACTGCTGAGGGGTCAGAGTTGAGACAAGATCATGGAGAGGGGTAGAGGGTGGCCATGCTGTGTCCTGATAAGGTGATCCAGGAGGACGTCTCGGAGGAGGCGAGATGGGAACTGCATCCAAGCAGCGAAGAGGAGGATTTGGGCCATGAGCACAGCTCAGGGAGCCACATGGGACAAAGGCCCTGACCTCTGACATGCTGGTGGTGTGGCTGGAACGGGGAGTGGCTGGGGGAGGCAGGGATGGATGTGCTTCCCCCCCCCCCACACACACACACACATACACCAGGTGCTGTGGGGATTGGGTTTGGATCTCGGGGAGGGAACTGCATTTATAAAGATGGCGGAGGGGAGGGGACACTCACAGGGCCTTTCCGTGCCTCTTGGTGCCCAGTAAGAGAACGAGGGGTCAGGGGCCAGACGTGGGTTTGCTCTGCCCCAGTTTGGCTGCACCCTCGCCCCGCGTACCCGGAAGGGCCGCCCTAAGCCTCGTCCCCTTCCCCAGGGGCTCCCGGGAGGCCATCAAGAGGGTCGCCTACGAGTTTGTGGAGATGAAGGCCAAGGAGCGCGTGGCCTATGTGGAGGTGCGCTACAGCCCACACCTGCTGGCCAACTCCAAAGTGAAGCCGCTGCCCTGGAACCAGCAGGAGTGAGTGGGCCGAGGGGCCGGGCTGGGCTGGGCTGACCATCGGGGCACAGAGGGGCCGGAAGCTGGGGGCCCAGAGCAGGGCCGGGGCGGGGGGCTGTGGCGCCACTGGGGGCGTCTGTCCTTCCAGGACAGGGCCTTGTCCGTGTGCCCCCCCACCTCGCCCGGCCCCCCAGTTCCCGCTGGGCGTGTGCAGCCCAGCACTGGGCCGTCTCGTTCCTGCTCGAAGCCGTGCCCAGAGTGGGTCTGGCCGTGGCGGCTGCTGGCTGGCCCTACCCGGGGTTCCCACACGGTGCCCGATGCACAGCGACACGGCGGGCAGGGGGACGCGGGGGACAGACCCTGGCCAGGCGCAGAGGAGGGGCCGGGGCGGGGCTGGGCGGGTCTGCGCCTCCCCCCTCCCCCGCCTCGCCTCCAGCCGCCTGCCTCCCTCTCCCCACAGAGGGGACCTCACCCCGGACGAGGTGGTGCACCTCGTGTGTCAGGGCCTGCAGGAGGGCGAGCGGGACTTCGGGGTGAAGGTGCGTTCCATCCTCTGCTGCATGCGCCACCAGCCTGGTGAGTGAGCGTGGGGTGCGGCCTCCTCCGGGCGCCCCGTGGCCCCTGGGGCCTCCTTCTCAGGCTCCCCTGCACCCGGTGACCCCTGGGGCCTCCTTCCTGGGCTCCCCTGCACCGTTTTCCCTGGGGCCTCCTTCCCGGATGCGCCCCGGCCCCGCAAAGTCCAGCAGCCAGTCCTCCCTGAGGCTCCCAGGCCAAAGGGTTCTGGGCAGACTCAGAACCTCTGGCCAGACTTTCCTCCCTGGAGGCCGGGCGAGAGCCAGCGCCCGACTGGACGGCGCGGCCAGGCCTGACTTCCAGAGCCCGGAGGACCGTGTGTGCCAGGCACTGAGTGGACCCCCGGGCCGGAGCCCCTCCACCTCTGAACCTCACACACGTCCTCAGCTCACGCCACGTCTGAGCCTATATAGCACCAGGGCTGGTCCCGAGCCCCCCTCTGAGGGGACTTGCGTGTCCCGTCTTTGGGCTGTCGGGGAGCTGGTTACTCCTGACAGACGAGGAAACTGAGGCAGGAGGTTGGGGTGGGGGAGGCCTCTTGCCCTTCAGTCAGGGAGGCACAGAGCCCAGACCCGAGCTCAAGGCCCCTCTGGCTCTGGCGCCCGGGGTAGCGCGTTGTCTTTATTGTTCTGTTAATATTCTTGAGGTTAGAGATAAATTGTTTGGGGCTACGCGGTTTGTCCAGACACTTCGGAGGTTGTGTCAGTAACTCCAACAGAGGTTGGAGTTACTGCAGAGGGGCAGGGCCTTTGCCTCGCACGTGGCCGGCCTGGGTTGGATCCCGGAGCCCTACCAGAAGTGACCCCTAGGCTCAGAGCCAAGAGTAAACACTGAGCACTGCTGGGTGTGGCCCCCAAATCGAAGAATAGCAGCAGCAGCAGCAGCAGCAGCAGCAGCAGAAAAGACACTTTAGAAAAAATAGAATCAGAGGGGGGCAAAAAAAAAAAAAAAAAACACCAACCTTTTGGGGAGCGAGGGTGCCCCTGGAGGGAAGGGCAGGTACTGCAGTCTGTGTGGTCAGGCCCGGCAGGGTACCAGGGCTTGCTTGACCCACCCACCGTCCTGCGCTGGTGTGTGTGTGTGTGGGGGGGGGGGGGCGGGGGGGGGCGGGGGTACCCTCCCGATGCTGACAGGGTGGGGTCTCCCCGCAGACTGGTCCGAGGAGGTGGTGGAGCTGTGTAAGAAGTACAAGTCGGAGAATGTGGTGGGCATCGACCTGGCTGGAGATGAGACCATCGAGGGCAGCAGCCTCTTCCCAGGACACGTGAAGGCCTATGAGGTGCGGCCTGGCAGGGGCTGAGGCGCTGGGACTGAGCTCCCGGGGGCTTGGGAGGGGAATGATAAAGCCCCCCCCCCCCCCACCCCGGTGCTGGCCGCAGGCTGCGTGCCCCCTGCTGGGGGTACAGCTGACCTGTACCAATCACGCCTGGCATAGGTGACCGCCAAAGAGCTGCTCCAGAGGGCAGGGACTAGGCCCTGCGAGCACATGCTGGCCAGGGCGAGGCCCCGGGCTCGAGTGTGTGTGTGTGTGTGTGTGTGTGTGTCGGAGGGGTGACCCAGCTGTCCCCTCACTGCTGGGCTGAGTGTCGCAGGGAGAGATCCCCCCCCACTTCCGGGCCTCCCAGAAGAGCTTCCCCCCCACCCCCCGCCCCAACTGTCACTGTCACTGTCCTCTTGTTGTTCATCGAGTTCTCGAGCGGGCCCAGTAACATCTCCATCGTGACACTTTGTGGTCACTGTGTTGGGCATATCGAATCCGACACGGGGAGCTTGCCAGGCTTTGCCGTGCGAGCGAGATACTCTCGGTATAGCTTGCCGGGTCTGAACCTGTCAGACTCCCTGCCTGGGAGCCGTGGGCTGCCGCGACCTGGGCCCAGCTGTCCTCTGTCCCTCCAGGAGGCCAAGAACAGTAACGTGCACCGCACTGTCCACGCCGGCGAGGTGGGCGCAGCACAGGTGGTGAAAGAGGTGAGTGGCTGGGCCGGGGCTGGGCCACCCCCCTCCCGCCCTCTCCCGCCCCCTCACCTCCCCGTCGGGCGGGGCTGCCCCCCACAGGCTGTGGATGACCTGCATGCGGAGCGGGTGGGCCACGGCTACCACACCCTGGAGGACGAGGCCCTGTACCAGCGGCTGCTGAAGGCGAACATGCACTTTGAGGTGGGGAGCTGGGCGGGGCGGGGCGGGGGGGGGGGCTGGGTTAGGGCCCAGCACTGCGTGTCTCGAGTGAGGGCCCTTGGGTGCGCCCCCCCCACACACACACACACACGGTGCCCCTGGCGAGGGGTCCAACCCGCGTGCCAGCCGCACCCCCGCTCTTCCAGGTGTGCCCCTGGTCCAGCTACCTCACCAGCGCCTGGAAGCCCGAAACGGAGCACGCGGTGGTTCGGTGAGGCTCGACGCCCCGCGGCCCCGCGCTCACCGCCTGGACGTGTGCCGGCATGGGGGCCGTCACCCAGGGGGGCACAGGGCAGCCTGGGCTAGGCCCCCGCCAGACTCCAGGCTCTACGTCCCTCCCTCCCGGAGGGTCTGTCCTGCTGGGGAGGCGACCCCAGGACCCGTGTGCCCTGGTGCTGGCAAGGACTGCTGTCCACCGCCTGCCTTGTGGGGCCGGGAGAGAGGGACAGGGAGGGTCCGACGGCGTCAGAGGACAGTGGAGAGAGACACTGGGACTTGGCACCAGGGGCGGGAGGCCGGGCGGGCCAGGCAGATGCTCCCGGGACCCTGGACAGGGGCTTGGGGGCTTGGGGGGAGAGCCGGGAGCGAGGGACGGGCTGGCTCAGGCCTGCCAGCAGCGTCCAGAACCCGGGGATGTGTGTGCAGGCGCCATAGCCAATTCTTCCCGGCGGTGACTCTGGGCGACAAGACCCCTGTGGGTGGCAGAAGGGGGTACGGCCTCCACGGCCCCCGCACCCCAGCCCCATCTGGCTCTTTCCGGTGCCCTCTGCCTCTGCCCCTGGGGAGCTGGGCAGGACCCCCCGCCCTGCGGTCAGGGGGTGCAGATGGGCACAGGCGGCCTCCCCTGTCCCCGCCCCCAGGTTCCAGAAGGACGGGGCCAACTACTCCCTCAACACCGACGACCCGCTCATCTTCAAGTCCACCCTGGAGACGGACTACAACATGGTTGGAAAGATGGGCTTCAGCCAGCAGGAGTTCCAGAGGCTGGTGAGCGGCCGCAGCCTCGGGGGATGGGGCAGGTGCTGGGGGGGAGGCTCAGGGCCGGCCCTGTCCCCGCAGAGGGCCCCCGTGGCCCGGGACGGGGCCTCTCTAGGTCGCCGGGGCGTTCTGCCCTGTTCCCCGGATCCACGTTCTCGGTGCTCTGGGCCCTTCCAGAACCTCAGAGCGGCCGAGTCCAGCTTCCTCAACGACGCCGAGAAGGCGGAGCTGCTGGAACTGCTGCGCAAGGACTACGGGCTGCCCCCGCCAGCATCAGGTAGGGCCCGACACGCTGCCCCAACCCCCACCCCCAGGGAGGGTGTGAGGAGCCCCGCCCTGATCACCGGCCAGGGCCTGTGATATTCCTGACACCCTTCAAAGGGCAGGGCCTGTCTGGAGCCCCATCTGTGTGTGTGTGTGTGTGTGTGTGTGTGTGTGTAGTGGGGGGGGGGGTTGTCATCTCCACGGCTGCCCTCAGGGCCTCCCTCTGCTCCACCCCATCATGCTGGGTTGTGTGTGTGTGGGGGGGGGCGGTGCTCATGTGGCCTGGCAGCTGCCTCATCTCTGCCCTGGGCCGCAGGGCCGCGCCCCTGAGGACACCACGGCCATGTCGCCTCGCTGAGCCCCGGCCCCGCCCTGTGGATGGCGCCCCCGCACTCCACACATGGGCCAGAGACCCTGGCCGGGAAGACACGGACGCCTGGGGCCAGCGCTCTCGTCCCCACATGGCACCTGTGATTCTGGGCCGGCCGGGGCGGGGGTCGGGCTGCCCTCTGAGGATCATCCTGAGAATCGGTGCTCAATAAATGAAACTGCAGGGACTGGCCGGGCGGCATCCACTGCTCCTGCTGAGTGAGTCACAGGGCTTCCCATCCAGTGCCCAGTTGGGGGGCACAGGGCCCCTCTGGGAGGGGGGATGCTGTCTGTGCTCACGCTCCCTGGACCGGACCCTTAGCCGTGCCCGATGAGATGAGATCAGGACAGACCCTCCTTGGGTCTCACAACGCTGGAACGGGGGCGGGACCCTCCCCCGGAAAGCAGCCTGGCGGTCACACAGATCACCCGTGTTTATTTCCCGGCCCTGGCGTCAGCCCGGGCGGGGTGGAGCGGGCAGGTCTGGGCACACAGTCCTATGGCCGCGGGGCAGCGGGCAGCTGAGTGGACAGCCACTTCCGAAAGGGACGGCCGGTCGGCTGGCTCCCCATGCCAGGGAAAGGCTTGGCGTTTTTAAAAAGTTGCAAAGTGTGTTTTAAAAATGGGGTGAGAAGGTCTTGGCCCCGGGAGGCTGGCGTTGGAGGGGGGGGTCAGAGCTGGGACTCGGACCCTGCCCAGGTGCCCACGGCAGGCACGTTCTTGGGGGGTGGCGGCTTTGCCCTGGTGGGCAGGGCCCGGCCCCTGCGTCCCGGCATCCGGTACGAGTGACATCGCTGGCAGGGGGGTGTCCGAGGTGTGGCCGGCCTGGTCGGGTTGGTGCGGGCAGAGGTCTTCCCCGGCAGCCTCGGGGCCGCTGTCTTCCTGGCCCGGAACATGGGGCTCAGCGCGGGCACCCCTCCCTCGGCGGGGGTCAGTGCGTCTCTCTTCCGGCCTCTGGGTAGGGCCGGGCTCAGGAAGAACTGCTGGTCCCGTCGTCACTGCTCTTGGGCGGGGTGTCGGCCGCTTTCCCAGGGCTGTTGTCCTCCGCCTGTCCCTCTGCAGGGGGAAAGGAGGGTCCGAGGTGAGCGCCGGGGGTGGGGCCGGGATGGGACGGGTTGGTTCAAAGGAGGTGAGGCTGTGGCTGCCTTGGGCCAGGGGTCCACCTGCCTGGGGCCGGCTGGGGCTGGAGGGACGAGGGGTCCAGGGTTCCAGGGGACCCGCACTGCCTTGGGGCCTTGCTTGCCAGCTATTGGGGTGCTCCCTAGGACCGATGCCTGGTCCTCCTGCAGGCCCTCCCCACCCCTCCTTCCCCGAAGCCTGACAGACTAGATGATGCTTTAGGCCAACTGCCCAGCGAGCCAGAACATTCTCGGAGGCGGTGGTCCCTCAGTCTCTGCTCTGCTGACCCTGGCTGGCTAGGGGGGCCTCGGGATGGGCCTCCTGCTGCCGGTAGGGACGGACACCACAGCGCCACGAGCTCACCCAGGTGGCTGCGTGTCTGTGCACGTGTTCCCTCCGTCATCACAGGCGCAGAGACACGGGGGTCCTTGGCCCAGAGGCTCCCGGGAAGGGGCAGCCAACACACGGCAGGGCACACAGGGCCTCAGAAGCCCTGCGGCGTGTAAAGGCCCGGTGGCAGCTCCCGCCTGCTCTGGGCCCTCCCGAGTGACTCCTGACGCCCCGAGGACCCCCCACTTGGGTGAGGAGGGGGGCAGGGCCTGTCCCTGGGCCGAGGAGGGACCCTCAGACGCCCGGAGCCACAGGCGGGGCCCGTCGGTGGACAGCGGCCACCGCACCTGTTGCATGCCAGATACGGGGAGGCCCCGAGACAGCAGCTCGAGGTGGGCACTGTGCTTGGGGCAGGACCGACACGGGGCCGGGTCAGAGGCCCCAAAGTGGATAGCAGCACCCCAGGGGCCGCAGGAACGGGGCGGGGGCAGCAGCAGCCGCTCAGTTAAGGAAGGCGGGCTTCCGGGGGCCCCAAGGCACCGCTTCCTGCTGGGGGCACGGGAGGCCTGAGGCTGGCAAGAGCAGGGCTGGAGGAAACCCTGGGCGCCTGCCTGGAAGAGTGCGGCCTCAGCAGGGACAGCAGCTCAAGCAGGCCACACTGACCCAGGCACCCGCTTCCCTGGGCCTGTCCGTCCAGCTAGAAAGACGTGCCCCCACATCATCTCTGCTGCAGGGCCTGGCCCCCGCGGCCTCGTGCGGTCACTCAGGGGAGCAGGTGGGTCCCTCTGAAGGGCGCTCAGTGGGGACAGTCGGGGTGGAGAGGGGTGGGGCGGGGGCAGGGCGGGCCTGACCTGCGCCCTCGAGGGCCAGCTCGCCCATGTCTCCGGCCAGCTTCCTCACGCTCACGGCCTCCGAGTCCCCCTGGATGTCCGGGACTGCGTTCCGCCGGCCGGTGCGGTCGCAGGAGATGAAGTCGGAGTAGGAGGACTCGACCTCCATCATGCGGCTCTCATCGCCCTGCAGGCCTGCGGGGACAGGGCCAGGGTGCGTGAGGCGGGCGGGCCTGTGACGCCACAGGGACCGGACCGGACCAGACGGTGCTCTGGCCCGGAGGAGGAGACCCAGCAGAAGGCGCTCGTGAAGAAGCGCAAGGAAGAAAGCGCCCGACAGCAACCGAGGCACCCGCGGGACTCAGGCCACAGCGGGCCTTGTGGGGGGGAAGGGAGGGGCAGGTCAGCGGGGCGCCTGGGCACATTTTTTTTCTTTTTGGGTCACACCCAGTGATGCACAGGGGCTACTCCTGGCTCATGCACTCAGGAATCACTCCTGGCAGTGCTCGGGGGACCATATGGGATGCTGGGAATCGAACCCGGGTCGGCCGCGTGCAAGGCAAACGCCTTCCCCGCTGTGCCATCGCTCCAGCTCTGCCTAGGCTCTTCTTGGCGAGGGTTCTGGGGTCTGGAGGGGCTCCTGCAGAGGTTCTGGCTCGAGGCAGAGATAAGGGTGACTGACTTGCTAGGCCCAGCGCAGGACTTGGGGTGTGTGGGGCGAGGGGGGAGCCCCAGAGGGGGCTGCCCAGGCAGGCGGAGGAGGAGCACAGAGAAGGGGGGTGGGGGGCGGAGTCCTGGGAAGGCGGCTGCCCTGCTGCCCCCAAACAGTCCCTGGGGCCCCAGTGGGGGCGTCCCGGGTGTCAGCAGGGGAGGGAGCACCGCTGGGTCTGGCTGGCCGTGCCCCTGAGCCTCCCAAGGGGAGGGAGAGAGGGCGGGGGGCAGGGTGGCGGCTCACAGCTCTGCTGGAGGGTAACAGCCCCCCCCCGAGAGAACCCCATGCTGGAGTATCCTTTGGAACATTCCAGAACCTGGTTTATGGGGTTACAACCCCATCGGGGGTCATGGAATGACATGGAGGTCTTCTCAATCAAATAAAAGTCTTTTCAGTGGATGTTTGCTGTGCCCGCCTTTTATGTCGCGCTATACCTGGATTCGTGTGGAAGTTTCTCAGGTGAAGAGGGCCGTGGGCATAGAAGCCGGAGCCCTACTTGAAGCCTGACATCGGGGACCCACAGACCTACGAGGGGTGGGGCTGGGGGCAGGGGGACGTGGGAAGCCCCCGCGAGACCCACCCGGGCAGGTGTCATGCTCGCTACGGTGGGAGGCAGGCAGATTCCTGTCCTGGGCCCTCCCCCAGACGATGCCCCCGACAGGGGCCGGAGAGACAGGACAGGGGCTGAGGCTGACCCCCGCATGGTCTGACCCACAATCAGGGCGCTGCATGGAGCTGAGAGCCAGCAGGGGGCGCCTCTGAGCAGCCTGAGCGGTGCTCGGGGCCTCCCCCCACAAAACATGTCCCCAGAAGGCTAGGCATGACGTGAGTTAGATCTCGTATTCAGGTAAAAAACGTACCTCAGAAATACAGACATCTGAGACGACGACCAAAAAAATCCTATGCCAATAAATTGGAAAACTCAAGACGCTCTGATTTCAAACTTTAGGTTATGAAGCTATAATAACTGGAACTACGGGTACTGCTGGTTTTTTTTTCATTTTTTTTCATTTCATCATCCTGTTATTCGTCGATTGCCTCGAGCAGGCCCCAGTAACGTCTCTTTCATCCTAGCCCTGAAATTATATTCAAGGCTATTTAGGAGAATGAGACCCATCATTGTTACTGGTATTTGGCATATTTGGTATGCTGCGGGGAGTTTGCCAGACTCTGCCCTGTGGGCAGGCTACAAGTTTGTTCAAAGTAGGAATGAGATAATAAGATGTCATAAAAAGATGTCCTGATAAGACATCTTGGCTGTTGATGGGATTACATGGAGCCAGGGGGCCAGGTGGTGGGTGTGACCCCCGCCTATTGGGATTTGGAGGATCTGGGTGGAAGATGCTCGACTCCAGTCCGAGTAGGCTTGGAGATCTCGGCCCCAGAACCCGCTGGTACTGCTGGTACTGACATTTAAATTCAAAACAAAACAAAACACCACCAGAGATCAATGGAGCCGACTAGAGTCCAGAAATAACCCCACACATGCACAGTCGACTTGTGACAAAGCCAAGAATAAACGGGGAAAGAACAACTTCGGGAATATGTGAGGTAGGGAAAACTGAACCGTGATCATAAAACGTCCACTCAAAACGGATCCAAGACTTGTACAAAAGGCCTAGTACCACACAGCTCCACTGAGAAAGTCAGTGGTCGCCTTACTCTGGGCGATGATTTTTTTCACATCTGACTCCCAAAGTTAAAGGCAGTAGCAACCACCAACACCCACCCGGGGTTATCACACTAATGAGCTTCTGCAAACAGCAGGATGAAAAGGTGGCCGGCTAGCCTGGAGGGTGGGGGGTGGGGTGGGGGGGATACCTGCAGGCCGTGATGAACACGGGCTAACATCCTGAAGAGATCAAGAACTCACGCGACTAGTGAGTGGAAATCTCCAGAAGCGGGTAAGAAAATGGGAGGGCTGAGAGGTGGCAGCTGGCCGGCACGCACGTGAAACAATGCCAGCATCACGCGTCCTCTGGGAAAGCGCAGCAAAGCCACTAGGCATCTGCACGTTCAGAGGGCGGGTAGCAAAAAAAGACAGGCGGCAAGCACGAGGGGCGCAGGCAGGGGGCGCCGTGGAGCCGGGTGACAGGCGCGAACCTCTCTGTCTGCAGACCTCCCGGGAGAGCGGGCAGGGACCTCCAGGAATGCAAGCTTGACTATAGACGTCCCGCAACCCCACTAACTTGAAACAATCCCGGGATGTCGACCGGCCCAGCCTTCCTGGGAAACAATACGGACATTGATCAAAAAAAAAAAAATCTAAGGGGCTGGAGCAATAGCACAGCGGGGAGGGCGTTTGCCTTGCACGCGGCTGACCCAGGTTCGATTCCCAGCATCCCATATGGTCTCCCGAGCACTGTCAGGAGTGATTCCTGAGTGCAGAGCCAGGAGTGACACCTGAGCATCACCGGGTGTGACCCAAAAAGAAAAAAAAAATGTAACAGTCGAGATCGCACGTCCTTCTCTCCTGGAAGGGAGCATAATATGACGCCTGCCAATGCCACTGGACCACTGGACTCCGTGCAGGCTGTTTCACTCGGGGTGCCCTGGAGGGGGGGTGGGTGAGGGCCCTCCCTGCCCCCAAGGGTCCCAGCTCCAGCAGCCAAAGACCTCCAGAACGCAACTGCCATGGTGTTCAAGGCCACTCTCCAACATGATCAGGCCGAGCCTCTTCCATGAGTGAACCCGTCCTTGGACAGTTCACAGGACACACCCTACCCCTACTCCAAGAGTACCGCACCACATCTGACGGGGTTCAAAGTAGGAGGCAACTAATCTTAGAGGGAATTTTTTTTTTTTTACACAGACTTATAAAAGTGCTTAATGGCCTCTGGGTGAAATCCAACAATCTTCACACTCTTTCCTCTAAGGATACTTTTTTGTAGCATTTTCAACGGTTTTTTCATAACAAACAAGACAAAATACATGATTTCGGTTCTACTTTGGGGCAGGGATTGGGGTTCAGGATGGAAACATCCAAAATATGGTGTTGGGGAGGTGCCATGGGATTGGAGTTTGAATATTACATGTAATCAAATATTATGAACTACTTTATAAAATAAAAAAATAATAAATTTTTAAAAATCTATGATAAGTCGAGCTTCCATTTGACCCAGCATCCCTCGCGTCTTAGAACATACCCAGAGGGGTCATAATCAAAATGGAGGAAAGACATTGGCTGCCTGTGTTCCTTGCGGCACTGTCCACAACAACCCAGATCTGGAAACAACCCAAGTACCCAGGAATGGACGGCTGATGCCCACCATAGCCATGCCACTGGACTCCGTGCCAGGCTGTCCTGGCTGAATATAGAAACTAGGGTACGTCTCCAAAGTGGAATACAACACAGCCATGAGAAAAAAAAAATCAAGCCATACAATTTGCTACTCCATGGAGGGACCTGGAGAGCACCATGCTGAGTGAAGTTAGGCAGAGGGAGAGAGACCAACAGAAAATAATCTCTCACATGCGGGATTTTTTTATTTTTTTTTCTTTTTGGGTCACACTCGGCCATGCGCAGGGGTTCCTCCTGGCTCTGCACTCAGGAATTATTCCTGGCGGTGCTCGGGGGACCCCTATGGGATGCTGGAAATCGAACCCGTGCCGGCTGCGTGCAACGCAAGCGCCCTCCCCGCCGTGCTATCGCTCCAGCCCCTCACATGAGGGATTTAAGGAATCAGAATGTGGGAATAAGGAATGAGGAATGCCCAAAGACCGTGGACGCAAAGAGCAAGAGAGAGCCGGTACTCAGCAGGAAACATGCCACCCAAGGAGCTGGGGGCCAGGACAGGGAGGGGCGACCTCTATGGGGGGAGGGAAGCGTTCAGCTGGGAGGAAGTGCTGAAAGCGGGCAAAGTGTCGTGTACGCAGCCCTGTCAGCTGTGGTACCGTCAACCACGGTGCAAACACACTGTCTGTAAGGCGCCTCTCTTCGAAGCAAGCCGGTGGGTGGGAGGCTAACGGGGGTGGTGAGGGGCTCTGGTGGGGGAAGTGAATCTGTGCTGACCACCGTGTGCCTGAAACCCATCATAAATAACTGTCTTTTTTTCCTTTTTTTTTTTTTTTTTGCTTTTTTGTCATACCTGGGATTGCTCCTGGCTCTGCACTCAGAAATTACCCCCGTCAGTGCTCAAGGGTGTGCCCATACTTGGGATGCTGGGAGTCAAACCCGGGTTGGCTGTGTGCAAGGCAGACGCCCTACCTGCTGTGCTATCGCTCCGGCCCCAACTTTGTCTTTTTATGGTGACTAAATGAAAAATTTTAAAAAAGCAAGAGAAGCTGTCGGGCCCCCACCGGCTGGGAGACCAGTGGGCGGGAAGCATCTCGGGCCAGGGAAGACGGTGCGGCCGTACTGCTCGGCCTGCAGAGGGCATCTCGCTGCCGTGTGGGACATGGCGGGCACTCAGGGCCTTCAACCCAAACCCGGGAGAAAGCCACAGGCAGGAGGGTTCACAGTGGGGTCTCAAAGCTGAGGCAG